AAACTTACCACCGGTTACAGACCACCGTAGGATAAGTCGGGATGTAGAATTGTTGGGGTCGACCTTTTCTAACCCCTTCTCTCCGTAGTGGGGAGACAGCATAGGTGGCATGCTGGTCATCTGAGGGAAACACCTCACCCCTATTCCCCAGCAGTATGACTTCGCCCATAGACCCCCAGCATAGTGTAAGAAAGATTCTTACACAATGCCGGCAACTGCTTTTAGTCTAATCCCTATCCTAAAAACCTTTCTGGCATGATAGGACCTGCAGGAACATATGTTGCAGCCAGTGTAGCTTGTTGGGTCATCGCGATGTGCAAGCTCGACCACCACGTCAAGGTAGTAGTTATCGGTCCGAGGCTCGTTGACTATTCAGCCACTTGGTCTGAAATTCAGTAACTCGTGAATTCTAAGTTCTGTCAATTGTTGGCGATTTCAGCGTAACCGTCATCCCATTTCATCGGTGAGTACTTATCCTCGCACCTGATGAATTGGTCGACCTTCCCGGTCATAACTTCTCACTCGAACTCCTGTCAACTTCATCAGTCAATACTCAGTCACTGGTGTGCATCAGATTATTTTTCAAGACTTAGTTTGTAGGAATTTGATTTGTTTCAAGTTCGATCATGCAATGAAATCTGTTAGGGAACCATTAAACCCCCCCCTTCACCAGGGAATAGTGGACGATTGTCTTATCCTAGTTTGGAACTCTTCAGCACCTATGATCTCCCTCCAGGGATCGAACTCAGGAGCTTCAGGATATGAGGCCAAGCTCGTTGATTGCTGAGCTATTTGAGCTGTTTCCATTATCAATGAAGTAAAAATCTCAGTCCTTTTCTTAATCCATATGTATATATGTCACATATTTTGTGATTCTACCTTTTTGCGGCTTCCACAGTTGTTGGTGTTGTTCATAGCATGCTTTTCACCCTTCATTTCATAATACCATAGGAAGGAAAAATTTCACAAAGTTTGTAGGCGGAAAATAATTTTTTTTCTAAATATTGAAAGTTTGTCTAAAAGTGTGTATGTGTGTGTGAGTATTTTCGTGCTGAATTCATTCTACCTTAATTCAATTTTATGCACTTTATTTCTCTGTCTTGCTGTTTCTCTTTCTTTCTCTCTCTCTCTCTGTCATTATTTTTTCATTTCTCTCTCTACCTTATTCCCTTTGCTGCTGCTTCTTCTTCTTGTTCTTGTTCTTCTTCTGTTTTCTTTGCTTATAGTGTCTTTTTATTCCACTTTTAATGAAGAAAGAAAAATAGCGAGAGTGACTCATTCATCTGAAGTCCTTTTTTTCTCAATACACACAGAGAGAGTGAAAAATGTTTCAGTCGAAAATTTTGACATCTATGATTCATCATTCAGATTATTCCTTGTACACACTAAATACTAATACTAATAATTTATGTAGTAGGCTGTGAATGATTTATTCTTTATACACTAGCTGGGTAGTAGTAGTAGCAGTAGTAGTCAGTGGTTGGTTATACATTATTTTATGTACAATATGTGTGTGTACACCCTAATCGTATTGAAAATCCACTGAGAATTAGCACGCGTAATAGTCAGCTTAAAGAGTAGCTTTACTTATAATTTATTTTTTATTTTTTAAAAACTAGCATAGTTTACTATCCAAAAGCTGACTGAGGTTAGTTAGACCAAGCACTTGTTAACAGTGTTGCTAGATAGATGGCTATTTTGTCCTAGTTTGGGGACACCTCATCAACACATCAGCAGTCATAGCCAGCCAGCTGGTATAACGGAGATCAAGTCTAGACTCATCATGTTACGAGTTGGTTGTGACCATTCAACTATATACTGGTTCTCCAGGTGATATCATTAGAAATAATAAGGCAACTCTGTGGAAATCGATACAGGAAAACACGATTGAATTGTTTGTTATTACCTATATACAAGTTTTAGCTTTCATTTCTTTTTTCTTGAGTTTACAACACATCATCAGCTTGTTTCGATTCTTCATTAAGGTGGTTTTATAAGTAAAGTTACAGATCAACACAACTACCAGACACAATCGATGAGGCGAATTACTAACTAATATTGATTATGATATTGATGTTCCAGTAGATATGTGAATGTGACAACAATCACAGGAAACTAAAAAAAACACAACAAACTTCTCGATATTTACAGGTTGACCATATCATTACTTTAATGTCACCATGAGGTGCAAACGCGCACCATTTTGAACTTGGACACATATCATTCATTGGATTACAGGACTTGCCATTATTACAGCGTCCAGTATATGAACGCTGTACACGAATCCAAATGCGGGTTTCATCCTGATATCCTTTTTAATTACTGTTTGAACAATGGATTGATTGTGCGTTAGGGTTAGTATTAAGGTTAAAGTTAGAGTTGGGGTTGAGGTAGCTATGATACTTGAAAACTGACACTCTTCTTTGTTTAATTGGGAAATATTGTCCAGTTACGCTAGAGTAAAATATCGCCTTTCATCTGTTTCACTATTATTATGATTATTATTAAACAAACAGCTTTCTATGTAGACTAAACGTCAGGTTCTGTAATCCAATAAATGGTATGCGTTCAAGGTAGTTAGTGCGCGTTCTCACTCCATTGCCTCTACTATTTATTGTTTGCCTATTACGTAATTATATTTTTTCTCTGCATTCCTTTACGTTTCTACTGGAACATTGGGCTTCAAACTAGAGGTTTGAAGTTTTGGTAGTAGTGGTGTTTATTTTTATGGGGTGGTGGGATCGCAAGTCTCAAACCCAATATCCTCTGTTTATACCAGTCTTATTACAGGCCTAGAGAAGTGACAGAATGCGTCAGTCGGGGATCAAACTCCGAACCACCTGAGGCGTGGTTGGTGAGCATTCTACCTCTGTGCCACTGATACACATATACTGATATACTGTGATAAAAAAAATAAATACTTCAGTTTTCCGCTACCATAAAATGTATGAATAAAATCCATTTGAAAGTTAAATACTTTTAAGCATACATTTCCTGTATGCACTTTTGTTGATATTATCAAGCTTCAGTGCATTTCTCTACTCACTTTCTCACTCTATAAACCTACTATTTTTCCTAAGTTTTTAGATAAATATATCATGTGTGAATAATTTACAAACCGACATCCATTCATGTATTATAGGTAGAAGTTGGTTGTGTTAGGATTGTTAAATTTTCATGTCCAACCTTCTGTGTATTCCGGGTTAAACTATCGGTTAATAAACTAAGCGAAGTTTATGAATACGTCGGCTGCTGTCGCTGATGGTGGTGGTTGTGAGTGGAACTCCGGACCACTCATGTGTGGTTGGCATGCATTTCAGCATTGAACTACTGACGTACAAGCACAATTTATAATAATCTACTATTTATTATTGGACATTAAATTTAACTTGGAAATTTATTTTTAAATGTTTTCATAGAGGAACACGTACTGATAGATATGAAGTCCAATAGGTGTAATGATAACAATTGAGAACTGTAAACAGGAAGCAATTACATAAAACTATGCAATATCAAACGATGATATCTAGTCTAGTGTGTATGTTGATTGTTATTTAACTGCCAACGTGTGAATAACCCTCAAGTCTCACATCCCAATAATAATCATGATGGGAATGCAATAGAAAGTAGTTATATATATATATATATATATATATATATATATATATATATATATATATAACAGGAAACAATTAAAGCCTAGAAAACTTTGTATGCTTATAAAAAAAATCAGTAAACACCGTCTCCTATTTAATTAATATCAGCATAAACGAAGATGTGTCCATCCTTACATTCTCTGTAAAATACATGAGATTATGCCTATAGAGTAACGATAGACTTATTGAAGGATTACATCATGAGCTGACATCAGTTGGAGAACCACTGGGAAACCTGAAGGGATTACTGGATAGCTGTTTCGTCAGCCTTGTTTGGGACTCTTCATCAGTAAGCACCCACCACAGAGGGTTCAAACCCAGGGCCTTCTGGTTGAATGGCGAGCTCATAGACCATTAAGCCACTGAATTCTAACTTCTGTTTTCTGATGAAGAGCCCCAGGCTAGGTCGAAACAGCTGTTTAGTACACTCCCTGCAAGTTTTTCAATGGTTCTCTAACTGATATCAGCCCATGATGAAATCCTCCAACCAATTAAACAAAAATCCTTACGAAAACCAATACTTGAGAATGATAGATTCAACCTACTTACTTTTTCTACTATGTCGCGTTCATTTTATTTTTTTATATACATCTCAGTCAATATATTAGCCACTTAACACTATGGACTATACTTTCTTTGTTTATTGTCTATGTCTGATTTTCTGAATGTCATTCGGCGTCCTAAAATTATACCTCGTCATTTTTTGTACATTTATGCAAAGTACATATATATATATATATATATATATATATATGCGCATACGTGTGTGTATATACAGTGAAAATATGTAACTGTATATAAACATCATGAAGTTTTTTAATGTGATTAACATTAATGCCTCCCTCCAAAAAAATTAGAATTCTGCAATTTTTCCCTTCACCGCTCCCTCCAATGTAAATATGCTTCCAATCTCAGTCTTTATTCATTGCTAACTTATTTATTTGCACTGTGTATATATTTTTATCTCTCTCTCTCTCTCTGTGTGTGCGTCTATGAGTAGTAGTCGTAGTAGTACAGATATCTGTCATAATTGCCGTCACGAATAATATTTACACTTATTGACTTGGTAGTGTTTACAGTTTCCTTTGGTATCACATGTCGTACTCTTTTAATGCTTCTCTTTCTTCTATTGATATTGTTTGCTTATTTTTGTTTAGCCCTGAGTTCATGTATGTATGCATGTATGCATATCATTTGTATACTGTTAATTATTGCGCATACACACATACATATATACACAGTTTGTGTGTGTGTGTGTACCAATATTATAGAGTAATAATTATATGACTTCTTCATTTATTGCCATACTCATTTTTGATTTATGATTATGATTATTTTCTCTAGGGTCTCCCAGCATCATGGCAAATGCTTTTAACAGCATCAAATATCTCGCGTACAGAACAAGAGAAAAATCCAGAAATTCTTCTCGGTGTCCTTCAGTGTTTTGATGAATCAGCTAAACACAAAGATAAATATATGACAAATGTATCTGTTCTTACAAGTAGGTTGGGTGTTTACACACAGTAAATCGATGTCTTTTGTTTCAGTAATAATAATAATAATATAACTATTGTTTGACAAGAAGAATTACACCTCTGATATGTGTTCTGGCGTTGTCGAGTGGTTCAATGCCTAGAACACTAGCTAACCATGCCTTATCTTAACCAATACAAAGGTCGTCAGTCAGTTCTTCTATACGGATCGGATCAGAATCTTGGCGGGCGGGTGGGTCACAAAGAATATTTCCAACAGGCTGGCTATTGCAGACCTTTATCAACAACTAACTGTCTTCCCTCTATACTGAATGAAGATCAGATCAGATGGCCGGGCCGGAAAGAATCACCACCAACAAGAAACTATGGGAACAAACAAAACAAGAAGCAATCGGCCAACCAACAAATATGCAGGAGAAAGTGGATTGGATGGATTGGACACTAGCTCGCTGAGGAGGCCGCTGGGTGACATCGAGCGCCCGTCAGGCCATTGGTCGAGTGGAACAAGGCCGAAAGGGAAGCGGTGAGTGGGACGTTAGTGCAAGGGTGGGTGACACGAAGGAGATCGTGTGAAGAGGAGTTGAAAAAGGATGAACTAACATAGATGAAAAGTACAGCAGAAGACAGAAGCAAGTGGAGACGTGCAGTTGAAGCCTTATGTTCCACTAGGAACCCAAGGGAACAATCATAATGCTTTATCTGGTTCGGGGTTCAATTACCTACTGACCGACACGCTTCTTCTTAACATTCCTTAAACCGGTAGTAAGCCCGGGAAAAAGAGGGGAGGGTGGAGTGTGAGGCTAGCAACCGTATCCCATAAAAAAAAGAATAACATCATTGCTACTGACAATTCAAAATTGTAGTAGTTTGGAGCCCTGTGTGTTCCACTGGGAACTCAAAGGAATAAAATTAAAAAAAAATAAAACTACTTTCATTTTAGTCATCCTGTTATAGAGGGATGAAGCTAGGTGATTCTGATTTAATTAATTGATAGTTTGTCTTCATTCATGTCCATTGGCATCTATTCGATACACAAGAAGACTGTTGCTTTGAATCTCATAGAGAAAGCTAGAGAGAGAGAGGTGTAGATTGTCTGGTTTGGAGTTGTTGGGATTCAAAGAGACAATGATTGAAGAAGATCTAAGATCTCGTAGATCTATTAAAAATTCTTTCTTCTGGATAACTTCATTCCTTATGATCTCCTTACATCTTTCTTTCCTGTATTTTTGTATGTGCTTTCATTGAAGTGTGTAGCGCAGGGTGAACTACTGCAACTTTGTGCAAAGTACTGCTGTGATAACTCAGTTAATATATGCTTATTAATAATGCAGTTGAAATCAATAGTTGTATTCATTATTAAATCTATTGTTACTATTATTGCTATTATATTATCATTTCGCTGGATTCTTAGTGAGGCATAGGACTTGAGTAATCCATCTCGATTCCATCCGGTTCTCTGCAGTCTTTATAGCTGGTCCCACGACTGACTGCCCATAAGCTCGCCCTCCGACACGCATCCAACTTGCCGTTTCCCATTAGGCTTTCATTGAAGGGCCTAAAGAGTGATATCATTCGACGGTCTTCCCAGATGTGTGCCTGGTCCATCTGCGTTTCTTTCGGATTTTTTTTTGGGGGGGGATGATAGATTCTTCAATGCCTGACAGAGTTTCTTGTCACTTACCCCTTCTGGGTAGCTCATCTAATATCCAATATGGAACCAATGAAAACCTCTGCTGATAAAAGATTGTAGTGGACTTTTGCAAATGGTTTTCGTGTGATGCGTGCCCCAAGTCGCTGACTTGACCTTTAGTTTAGGAAATGCAGATGACGCTATCATATGGATCTCTGTATTCTGGCCCAAGTAGCTGAATGGCCAACGATGGTCCTGGAAGTTCAATCTCTGAGGTGGGTCGTGAGTGCGCATTGCCGAAGAGTCCCAAAACAGGGTGGAACAGCTGTCTAGTGCTTTCCGTTGGTTTTCAATGACCTCTCGAGAACTGATGTTGATTCGTGACGAAAATCCAACTATTCACATAGCATAATAGTTCAATAGAAAGAGACTACACCATATGCTTGCATGCTTTTAGTTGTAAGGTGATGCCATTTGGCTAACTTTATCTGACATACATTTAAATAAAACTCTGTATCAAACACAACAGGAGGTGTAATTAGAATGGTGTCCAAATTCTAGTTCTTTTTTTTAAATTTTGGATGCGTATTTGAAAAAGGTAGCCTATAACACACATGCCTAACGTGTGTAGGATGTATCAATAATACTTCTTAGTTTTATCCTTTAATCTATGTCTTTTTTGCCAATTCTTGTTGTGTTGTTTTCTTCATGTCCATTATGAACCACGTACATTTTTAATGTAAGGTTTTTTTTAAAAAAAGATAAGGATATTTCGATTTTTTTTCTATTTGTACCAATAATTCATCTTTTATTATTATTTTTATTCTTCCTCAATGAAGTGCTATAAAGCAAAACCACGACTGAATGTCCACTGACTGTACTGTTATAGTGGTTATATGAAAGAGTTTTTTTTACTCTTGTAATATGTGTTTATTCGTCCTAGTTTGGGACTCATCAGCAGTACGTACCCACCGTGTTTTAAACCCAGCACTTCCGGTTACAAAGCAAGCTCGTTGAACGTTAAGTAACTCTTGATAATTAGTCTAATGCTCGCTTGCAGTAACTGGCTGCAGGATGAAGTTCTAGTGAGAGGTCGTGATCAATGGGGTCCACCTTGTCGGAGTGAGGACAAATACTAGGTGATGGCATTGCTTGATGGTTGTGCAAAAATCACCAGTTTGTAGTGTTTGGAACTCATGGGCCATTGAGTTGGGTCCCAGTGTCTGAATGTTAACCAGGATGTCCTGAGTTCGGACCCTGTCGGTAGGTGCATACTGCCGATGAGTCCTGAACTAGGATGAAGCATCTGTCCAATACTCCTTGGTCAAACTCGTAAACCAAATCAGATCCCCATAAGCAAACTGTTGAAAATGTTTATTCTCCTGTTTTCTTATCGATTCATAATATTGTAAACTTACATTTTCTTGTTTCTTCGCCCCCCGCCCCCCTCAAATATCTAGACTCATCTGGTTCTGTTGAATCAATGAATTCCAATTCTCGATCATGTTCTGTTTCATCACAAAGTATGCCAATGGTTCCTAGTCATTGTGATATAAACTGTATGCACTCACCATCCTATCCACCAGCTGCATTTAATTCTACAACATCAATATCTCCACCGAATTCAGGTGAAGAAAACTTGATTATGTCAATGGCTGAAACTAATTTAACCGGAATGGCTATACCGTCTAGCGGATTGCCAACAACTACACATTCTTGTGCTGGTAGTACTAGCAGTGGTCGTGGTAGTAGTTGTACGACGAATAGTGGAAGTGTTGGTGGTGGTCGTGGTGTAAGCGGTGGTGTTCCAAATGGTTTAAGTGCTGCAAGTTTAGTAGAATTAACTTCAAGTCATTCACATGGATGTCAATTAGGTCCTGGGAGAAGAACAAGTACAGGTGGTGCAGTATTTCTGGGTAGTCCAACTCGTGCATTTGGTGGACGTGCAAGTGGTTCAACAATACCTGAAATGTCACCTGCACTTGGTAATCATAGAGGTATTAGTGATACAGGGGATATTGCACGTTCTGGACCGAATTCTATGATATCATCATCAGCTAATTCAGGAACTTTAACAAATGGCCAACTTCTTAATCATAGTCGTCATGCTAGAGATACAAATTTTGTCGGTGATAATCATAATGGTCATGCTGCAGCTTCTGTACCTATTCTTCCAATTACATCTGGTGTTAGTCTGGGTGGACTTAGTAGTAGTCGGTGAGTTGTCAGCCTATATATTTATTACTTCCATTATTGACTTTTAATTTTAGAATGATATAGTAGGTTGAATCTTCATTAGTTACAATAAAGATTAATTAATTGAATTTCAGTTGTTAGATTTCCTCACGAACCAAAATCAGTTCGTGAGAGGTCATTGAAAGCCAGTGGAGAGCACTGGACATCACCCCATTTCGGGACTCACGACCGGCTTCAGAGATCGAACCTCCAGGATTTTCAGCTTACGAGGCCAAGCTTGTTGACCATTCGGCCACCTAAGCCGGGGGATTCAATAACCCGTGAATTCTAACTTTGTCAACTCGTGATATAGTGATGTCTTCAACGAATGCCTTCGATGAGCGCCTACTCCATCGTGTAATTGTGGATGCCACTGGTCATTCAATAAAGCTTCAGGACAATCTTGATCCAGTAGCTATCAATGAGCTGGCTACTCATTCGGATATTTAAATAAAACAGCTGTCCTGTCCAGTGCTGTGTGGTTTTGTAATGCTTCGTGATGAAATTGAAATGGACCCACACAAAAAACTTGGAGGATATGGACTTTGCTGATGATATATGTCTGATTTCCCGCAAACTGGAAGATATGCAAGTGAAAAGCAACAAGTTGGCAGAACAAGCATCCAGTGAAGATAGAACTCCAGGTGAACATGGAGAAAACAGAGGTGATGAAGATTCCTGGGCAACACCAACAGCCACAGCAACAACAACAGACAACAATAAGCATAAATGGGAGGAACCTTAAAGAAACTCTCAGGAAGCCAGCAAGTGACATCACTATACAAGCCATCGCTCGAGTGGAACCCGAAAGGGAAGTGGCGAGTTGGTCGTCCAAGGGTGACTTGGAGGAGGTGATGTGAAGAGGAGATGAAAGCATGTGGGCAGACTTGGAGCGGGGTGAAAAAGTTGACAGAAAACCGAACGCAATGGAGACTTGGGCGGCTGAAGCCCTATGTTCCTCTAGGAATTAAAGGATATAATAATAATAAAGCCGGTTCAAATCACCCCCACAAAAATCTCGTAATCTGAAGATACTCAACCTACAACTTATTACTTAAATTAAGACTTTTCACAAACAACCTGATGTGATATAATACAGAATAATGGCCGACTGGACGACTATAGTTTACTGATCAAAATGTACTATGCCGCTCTTCTTCACAACACTGTTTAGAGTAAAGACAGAAAAATAAAAAGAAACAAAAATCCTGACAACCGACTATTCATCACATCAGAAAGCAAACGGTTTCCCAAACATTTCATTCATATCTCTTGATTTGTATAACTGATGAATTATTACTGGCGTTGACTTCATGTTGCCAGTATTAGTTTATATCAGTCATGTGCCTATTGAATCTCTACATAATTAATAACAGCTTTGTAATAGTGCATGCATATAAATCCTCTGATTAACCCGAAGGTGTACAATCTCTGTTGATAACACTTGTCTGTCAGCTTAAGTGTGTTTAAGTATACAACGGAATGAATTGTATGAAAATCTAATAGCATATTGTTGAATTAAATTCAATGTAAACGCTAAGTAATTCAAGTTTTGCCCTTCAAAAAACACCGCACATAAAAGAAGAGAAATAGGAGTAGTGATATTAGTAATGGATCCTTCTCCTTCTCGAATGATCACCTCAATGTCACTCTCGGACGACCCCATTCGGGTTCCACTCGAGTGATGACCTGGCGTGCGATGCCATTCAATGGTGTCTCCTCAGCGTCTGTTCGGTCCATCTCCATTTTCTTCGGAATATTTGTTGAGGCAGTGAGTGAGTTATTGGTTGGTTCTTCTGCAGAGTTTCTTGTTGCTAATTCCTTCTTGCCCTGCCATCTGGTTTCCAGTATTGAGCCAGGAAATTTTCAGCTGTTGATAAAAGTCTAAAACCGGTTGGAAATGCTTTAGGTGCATCACGCGCATGTCAAGTTTTCAACTAATTTGACATCGATATATTGAAAATCGGGATTGTGTTGTTTACACTGAGTGCAAAGTGATGAAGGCATGATTTAATGTCTTTTCAATTCTGGTTTTAACATCTTCATCCGTTCTGTCTGTTCAGGATTCCCTGATTATTGATCATTAGCGTTTTGAAGATTAGTGTCAACCAAATAGCTTACAGCTCTCTGTCTGTCTGTCTCAGTCAATAACTTTCATCGATTGACACCATGTTTTGGCTGGACCACCAATTTTTTCTTTTAACCTAATTCAGCTTCAGCTAACACTATTCGTTGAAGAAAACTGGTTTAAAGGATTTCATCGTGAGCTGACATTAGTTGAAGAACCATTGGAAAACCTGGTAGTACTGGACAGCTGTTTACTCCGTCCTAGCTTGAGACTCTTCAGCAGTACGCGCTCACCACAGAGAGTTCGAACCCAGGGCCTTCTGGTTGAGAGGCGAGCTCGTATACCATTAAACCACTGAGACCCGATCTAATGGTCAGCCCATGAATTCGAACTTCTGCCAATTCACGACATAGCGCAACCGCTAGCCAATGTCTTTGGCGAGTATTTGTCTTCACACCCAACCTGCTGCACCCTACTGGTCACGACTTCTCACTAGAACCCCAAGTAACTACCTACCTGAATAGGGCAAGTCGCTAGTGAGCATCTCATTGAAATGGTTCTCTAACTAATGTCAGCTCATGATGAAATCCTGTAACCAATCAAATCCCTACAAACTAACACTTGCAAACTGGTTTAGTACGCTTAAGTTATGTCCTAGTTTTCTGACTTGATGAAGATTAATCACTTCATGGATTGAATCAGATAATGCGGTTAAAATATCAAGTGTAGTTGATGTGTTAGCGTCCTGCTCATTTTTATGAACCAACTTTTTTCATCACCCTATCCATATGCACTATTTATCATATATATATATATATATATATATATATATATATATATATATAAATATATATATATATATATATATATTGTATATATATTTATTGTAAATATTTTTAATTTTATTTTTACAGTAGCAGCGGTTGTTCACTCTCCTGTTCAGGTGCTAGTGGAAATGTCAGCATATCTGGTCTAGCCAATTCTATCAGTATGGTTGGACATTTAATTAATGGTACAAATAGTAGTAGTGGTAGTAGTCCAACAAGTGCACTTCCACCGAGTATGCTACCATCACAGTCAACTTCTTCAGCATTTAACAATAATTGTTGTTCATTTGGATCTTATCCACCATCAACATCCTCATCATCTCCGCCGCCACCGCCTGTTCCACCGCATGCAACAGCTGTTATAAGAAATTTAGAATATTCTGAAAATTCTGTAAATAATATTAATAATAATAATAACCTTGATATTGGTAGTGTTAAAGAAGAAGGTACATTAAGACATACTTCTTCATCATTTAATACCAATAATAATAATAATTCAATGCCTCCTCAATCTCGAGAAGATTTATTAGTTCCTGAATCGTGTATGATGGTCGGTGGTACATTTTCTGATGATGATGACGACGAAGAAGACGGCGAAGAAGAAGAGGAGGAGGAAGACGAAGAGGACGATGAAGAAGGTGTAGTGGTCGAAGCTGAGGAGGAAGAAGAAGACGATAGTGAAATAGATGAACAAAGTGAATTAAGCAATAATGAGATTACTACATCTCAAGTCACTGTGGAATGGATGACAAGCAGTGAAACGGGAAGTAATTTACCCACACCAATGACAATGTCAAAAGTAAGATTCCTATTGTTTGATTGGATTGGATTGAATTACTTAGATTTATTTATTTCTGTCAATTTCATGAATCAATTAATATTATCATGATAAAGATAGTCTTATAATGATGTAACACACGTTCATTTAACCATAGTGTTTACTACTGTGAAACTGTTGAAGCACAACACACACACACACGGGTAAAGAGTAATAGTATCCCTTTATTGTGATATTTAATAAGGTGGAAATCTGTTGGTTTATAAACAATCGCTATTGCTCAAATTTTATCTAAATTACTCTATCTGTGCCGAGTGTTATGCACACACTTTTAGATTTTCCCGTCGATTGACTGGACCGAAGTGCTCGGTCTCAGGTTGACATGTTGACTTCTTGTGCAGATGCTTCGACGATGTTTGGCCATGTAATTAGAAGGAAATTGATGGGTGGTGACTAGCAGTGGAATCCAGGATGTGCACCTCGTGGCCCAAGTGGTCTAGTGGATAACGCTTCGGCGTTTGAAACTATGGACACTGGGTTAGAGCCTCGCCGGGAACATTATCACTCTGGGGAATGCAGGTACACATCCAGATGACGAGTCCCAAATAGGACGAAATGCGCCTTATCCTGGATTCCACTGCTAGTCACCATCCACCAATTAACATAAATCCATTGGCTACAGTATGCATAAGTTCCAAGGATGTCGTTATGAGGATATATTTTAGGTGGACTGAAGAATGCTGTTTAATAAGGTTAAAATAACACTCATTGCTAATGATACTTGGTTACTTATTGGCTTTAAAACTGAAGAGGTTAAAGACTTTCGTCTTCTTCTCCTTCTAGGTTTACATCCAGTTTTAAAAAAGCAAAAACAAATTACTACTATCGTTTAAGAAGTAGATAGTGGATTCGTAAACCTTATGTCGTACTCCGTTGAAAATTTATCTGAGTACTCACCTTTCAGACAACTTACTCTGACTTCTTACTTTACTACTTAATACCATTTCGGTTTAGAAGGGGAGTAAATATTACAAACCTCCACTAGATGTAGCGAAAGAAAACTCCAATGTGTTGTGGTCCGAACGTTGGGAGGCAATCTTCCCATTTTTCGCTGTTTAACTAATCAAAACTTCTTTGAGTAACACACAGTCACAAAAGTATCCCAACCCGATAACCGGAAGGTTCCAGTTTCGAACCCTCTGTGGGGTGTACTGCTGAAGAGCCCCCAAACTAGGATGAAACAACCATCCAGTAGTCCATGGTGGATTTCAACGGTTCTCTGAATGATGAATTCCTCTAACCAAACAAACAAAATCCCTACAAAAAACTAATACTTGAAAGTGAATCTGATGCTCACTAGCGACTGGCCCAATTCAAGCAGTTAACCTGGGGTTCTAGTGGGAACCCGTAAGGGTTGAAGGTGGGGACGGTTAACTCATCGAAGAAGACATTGCGAAGTGATCGAGCTATGTCATGAATTGGCAGAAGTTCAAATTCATGTCATGGGCTGTGACCATTGGATCGGGTCCCAGTGGCTTCTGAATGGTCTATGAGCTTGCCCTGTAAGCAGAAAGCCATGGGTTTGAACCCTTTGTAGTGGGTGCATACTGACGAAGAGTCACAAACTAGGCTGGCCAAACAGTTGTCCGGTACTCCCTGTAGGTTTTCCAACGGTCCTCTAACTGATGTCAGCTCATGATGAAATCCCCCATCCAACAAGTGTATCAATTTGTGATTAGATCTTTCAGGAGGGATATTCATGAAAATATTTATTCTGTAGCCGAATGGTGTATAACTTTTCCAGTACAGTTATCTCTAGATTGTGTCATGTTAACTCCTAATGTATTGTATATTATATAAATAATAGTTAATTCTCATATGTATATTTTGCAGTCTGTACATTTTGATTGATTCAAACACATGACAAATAAGTAATCTGTGCTTGTGCTTAAATATTAGCATTGAGTTTATTATTCATTGTATACATTAAAAATAATATTATTCAACATAATTCTTGAAATTAATTTTTTCTAGGAATCTGAACATGCTATTATAAACGAAATTGCTGACAATCGAAATGGTGGAATGACTGCGTCAAATCGAACAAATTCTTCACCTACTACTACTACTACTACAGAGAACGTAACTACTATAAATACTGGTGAGTAAAACGCTTTTGAAAAGAAAAGTTTTACTGGAATTATTTACTCCGGTTGGTGTTAATCTGTGTAACCTTGTATAAATAAGTCTTTAGTGCTCACTTGAGGTATATCTATTATGCCTACAATGTAGCCACATCGGTTGAGTGATGCGACTTCACAATATTCATTATTATTATATTATTTTATTAAAACGTGAATTTCGGTACATTATGGGCAACAAGTGATGCGCCAAATAAAATCTCATAGTTTGTTAGAGGGCTGGGATACTCTCACCCCGGACGTCCAGACCAAAGCAGGTAGTTGTTTTAATGGGTCACTCCACCACTCATCGAGCTTTTGATTTGAAGGTTGATCCACAAGACAGTGGAGCAACGTTAGGAGCTGTGTTCCCTCATTTCCCAGTGACCAGTACAGGTTCTTACGCCATTCGATTCATTTGGATTCTGAAGCCGATATGCACTATAGGTTTGGAATCAGGGTTTTCCAGCTCCCCCACGTAAGTAGACCTGAATATCCACCAGTATGTTTGTGAGCGCCGCCAGACTTTTGAATTCTCCTTTTCACTTTTGTGAAGACAACTCCAGGCGCCTGAAGACGACAGCGAATAGAACTTACTTGGTTCGCACTATAAACGCATGGACATATGAGAGCATTTTGGGATGGAAGACCGAAGTCTACACACCGTCAGCCGTACCAGGTCGTTCACAATGTATTGTAATATGATCAAGCTAATTTATGACCCAAATCACTTAATAGCGGTAGAGTTCATAACTTTTGAAGCGAATTGCGTAATTGGCGATTATTATAAGAAACATCTGTTACCCTGAAGTGTCCTATATAGGTGTTATCCCTGTTTACTTATTGATTAGTTAGGTGTTCTATTGTTGTATACTATATATATGGCACAGCGGTTAGAACGCTCGCCAACCATGCACACAGTCAGGGGTTCGATCCCTTGCCGACGCACACCTGATATCAATGGTCGGCCTGCTAAATTTGGGCTACGGATATCTCATTCTGAAAATTCCATACTTGTACCAAATATACTATGTGGAATCAAGCTATAATAAAGTTAATTAAAATTATATATGCATGCTTGTTTAAGAGTGTAACATTCTAGGGCTATGGAGTCTATAGGATCGCTTGATTTACTGCGTCTTCTCAAGATATATCCATTAACTGTTTATATGTTCCCTCTCTAGGTAAAGACAATGCAACAATGAAGGCTCAACCAATGAATTCTGAACGAATGATTCCACCAACTGTTCCTGTAAAACCACAAGGCTTAACTCAAGTATTTCGTACACAACAACAACAACAACACCAACAGCAACAAGCCAAGATACAACCTCTACTCGTCAATAACTCTGCTGCACCACATCAACTTTATAAAAAAATTGATCCTTCTGTGAATACTTCTATTGCTACAACAGCAACTACTGGTGTTGCTGTGTCTGCTACGACTGCTACGAATACTCCTACCACTGTTGCTACAGCTGTTGAAGATGTTGTAAAGTCTACTACACCAAGTGCACCAAGACGTCGTACAGGGAATCATCGATTAACAGATCAACAAGTACATGATAAACTAAGAGCTATTGTTAGTAAAGGTGATCCATATAAGAAATATCGTATGGTAGATAAGATTGGACAAGGGTAAGTCTACTTTGGTAATTGTGACAACACTCATTTTTTGAGTTTTGTACCTTTGAAATATAAACGTAACCTGGTAAAGTGTCTGGTTCATAGAGCCAGGTTAATCTGTTCAGATGACTGTCTCAATGAGGAACTTAAGATTATTAGAGAATTACCTAAAATGGTTATCCAGATAAATTCATTGAGAAAAATATAAATTCAGCACCAAGGAGAGTCAGTATGGCCACAGCCCCGAAAAAACCATTGTTAATAAAACTTCAGTTACTCGGTGACATCAGCGAAATAATAACACAACGCTTGAAGAGTGCAGTTAAAAGAGCTTATTATGCAGCAGATGTACGCTGTCTCTCCACACCTGTTCTACGCTTGAGTAATAAGGATAAACTACTTAAATTCGCCTCTTCTATGTGTATCTACCAGTTTGACTGCAGCTGTGGAGCCAGATACGTCGGGCGTACAATTAGACAGGTTCATCATCATATTTCCGAACATCATCCAACAAGAGGCTAGTTACTTCATTCACTTATCTAGGGAGCATTCTCTCAACTACAGGAACGGACGAGGATGTCAAATCGAGCGAGAATCATCGGGAAGGCGAGAAACACATTCATCAATCTGAAACCAACCTGGAAGCGGGGAGTGGGACGTCGGTGCAGGGGTGACATGAAGGAGATGGTGTGAAGAGGAGTTGAAACAGTATTGACTAACATAGATGAAAAGTACAGCAGAAGGAAGACAAAAGCAAGTGGAGACGTGCAGTTGAAGCCCTATGTTCCACTAGGAACTCAAGGGAACAATTATATATATATATGTATATATATGCATACACATGTTATTATGTCATCACTTTTGTTCTATTTTTGTTTCTTTTCTTCCCGTATTTAGTGCATCTGGTGTTGTATATAGTGGATATGAAGTAGCCACTGGTAATTTAGTGGCTATTAAACAAATGAACCTAGCTCAACAACCTAAAAAAGAGTTGATCATCAATGAAATTCTAGTCATGAAGGCTAATCGTCAAGCAAATATTGTAAATTATCTTGATAGTTATCTAGTATCTACATCAGTCCCTTCCAGTATGGATCCTCATAATAATCATAACAATAACAATAGTGTGAATGGTTCAAATCATAAAAATCAACAAAATCATAATGATAGTCTTAATTCATCAACGCATAGTGGTTCTGGTAATTCATCATCAAAAAGCGAAGAATTATGGTTGTAATGGAGTATTTGGATGGTGGTTCACTGACTGATGTTGTCACGGAGACGTGTATGGAAGAAGGACATATTGCATCGATATGTCGAGAGGTAAGCTGACCAAGTACTGTTATTATTATCAATTGTTGTTTTGTTTGTGGGCGGCCGGGGGAGGGGTATCTCACTTATTTTTTATTTTTTATATTTTATTATAGCTTGACTGCACACTGTTTTTGACACAAGTATGGAATTTTCAGCATGTGATATCGGTAGCCTAAATTTAGTAGGCTAACCATTGGTATCGGGTGTGCGTCGCTCGGGGATCGAACCCCGGACCATGTGCATGGTCGGCGGGCGTCCTAACCGCTATGCCACCGACGCAGTCTGTAAGTCTGTGGTCCGGCCGGTCTTCGATCATCAGCCGGTTGTAAGCACAGGAAAGAGGAAAGGTCGAAAGTTTGGCTAGCAAACTCAACCTCTAAAAGTCGTCAGTGCTTCTGAAACTTCAAAGCTGGAAGCCCTATGTTCCACGTAAAACCCAAAGGAATAAAATAAATAACAAAAGCAGATTCCTTCGAAAGACTTCCGTCAACATTTCCTTCCTCGTGCGTCGGTGGCACAGCGGTTAGGACGCTCGTCGACCATGCACATGGTCCAGGGTTCGATCCCCGGCCGGTGCACTCCACAAACCTCGCTAAGCCGGTAGTGAGACTGGTAAAGAGGAAAGGTTTGGGCATGAGGCTAGCAACCCCATCCTGTAAAAATAATCACTACTGCTACAAAAACTTCAAGCCACGAGCTTGAAACCCTATGTTCCACTCGGGAGCGTGAAGGAAAAAAACATTCGTACATAATGATGATTTTTTTCAGCGTAGACAATATTATTGATATAGAACTTAAGTTCAGATGAGGAAGATTCAATAATAATTAAATTCAACCCAATTCAATCACTAGACAAGCCATTGCTCGAGTGGAACCCGAAAGGGAAGCGGCGAGTTGGTCGTCAGTGAGAGGGTGGGGTGACTTGGAGGAGGTCATGTGAAGAGGAGATGAAAGCATGTGGGCAGACTTGGAGCCAGGTGAAAACTCTAGCAGAGAACCGAACGCAATGGAGACGCGTGGCTGAAGCCCTATGTTCCTCTAAGAATTAAAGGAAATAATAATAACTAAATATGCTGAAGAAATTGGAGACGAATCGGATGCACTTTGAAGAAACCATTAAACGATATGGTGCGCCAGGCCATCTCTTAAACAAAGGTAACTCGAATAGAAGACGACGACGAATTGGGTATGGGTCTGAGGGTGACTCGGCTGAGATGAAAACTCATTGGCAATCGTGGAGCTGGTCAAAGAGGACTGCTGATAAGAGGGGTGAAATGGAGCACTGTGTTCCACTGGGAACCTATGGGAATAATGATAATAATAATAATAACGCCTAATAAATTATGAACCCATATTTTACAGACGTTTCGTGAGAAAAACCTTTTATTTACCAGTTTCATAATAACTGAATGCAGGTTGTCCTGAAAGAGCTTGAGGAAAGATGTCTGTAGTTTATCGTCTCATATTCGAAAGAAATTTGTGACTGATTATATTGTGCTTATTAATATTCACTTCTATTCTGAATGGAGTTTTATGATCTATCGATAATAGGTAGGGTATTTTCCAGCTGTATGCTTTTCAATCAAGATATTTAAGTGTATGCGCATATGTGTGTATGTGAGTGCTTGTAGGATCCCATTATGTATAAGTTTTCATTTATAAACGGGAAGTCGTGACCAATAGGGTCCAGCGGGTCGGGTGTGAGGACAAATACTCGCCACCGAAGACATTGGCTAGCGGTTGCGCTATATCGTGAATTGGCAGAAGTTAGAATTCAGGGACCATTGGAACGGGTCCCAGTGGCTTAATGGTATACGAGCTCGCCTTGTAACCGGAAGGTCCTGGGTTCGAACCCTGGCGGTGGGTGCGTACTGCTGAAGAGTCCCAAGCTAGGACGGAGGAAACAGCTGTCCAGTACTCTCAGCTGGTTTTCCAGTGGTTCTCTAAATAATGTCAGCTCATGATGAAATCCTGAATCCAATCAAATCCCTACAAACCAACACTTGAATATAAACGGATAAGTTGAACCGCGGTGCCATATGACATTGAATTGAAGTTGTTTACTTTCATCATCTGTCTATGCAGTTGTGTGTACCGGTTGTTCACTAGTAGTAGTAGTAGTAGTAGTAGTAGAATACTCGCCAACCAAACATACTCCACGTGGTCCTGGGTTCGACCCCGGGCTGGCAGACTCCTATACCCGTCCTAGCCAGTAAGTAAATAAGCTCAGTAGAGAAGGAGAAAATTTCACGCGTGAGGCTGGGAACCGGTTAAAAAGTGGCATTAGTGTTTCTGAAACTTCAAAGTTGCCTATGTTTGTAACCCTATGTCCCACTCAGAACGCGAAGAAATAAAAGAATAAATAATCTCTATACTTATTTATCGTATATTATTCATTCTTTTTCGACTATGTATGTATATCAGTATTAAATGGACCTAATGACTGACTAACTTGGAGTACTTGAAACAGGAACAGAATTTGTGTTGCATGACCGCAGAACCTAGGCAAAAATTACTTGAGGCCGGTCACACATACACAGCCTGTGTCAACTGGCTTTTTCGTCCGCTTCTGTATTATAGTCTGTCTGTCTGTCTGTTTTCGACATAGAACTTTGCACAAATGTGCGGAAGTTCAAGTCGCCACATTCTGTGTAGCACGCGAAGCAAGTCACTTACCTCCGGCTACAGACCACCGTAGGATTAGTCGGGATGCACAATTTTTGGGGTCGACCTTTTCTGAACCTCTCTCTCTCTTCAGAGTGAAGAGACAGCATAGCTGGCTGGTATGTTAGCCACCTGAGGGAAACACCTTTCTGCTGTTACAAAAGTACGATTTCGCCCGCACTATACTTGTAACTGCTTTTAGTTTAGTTAATCGCTATCCTAAACATCTTCCTGGCATGATAGGACCTGCAGGAACATTAGTTTCAGTCGGTGTAGCCTATTGGGTCATTGAGACATGCAATCCCGACCATCATGTCAAGCCAGCGGCTATTGGGAACAGACTTATTATGATATGATGAAATATTACTCTACTGGGAGTAAATAGACTTATTATTATCCCTAGTAGAGTAGTTTATATATATATATATATATCCATCTGATCCTCTTCTACTTCCTGACAGAGAAAAAAGAACAAGCAAACAAACTTTTTAATGCTTATCAGTGCTCATCATCCTTCCTTTTATATTCATTTCTTATCTAATCTGTGTGTATTATTCAACTTGTGAAGATTATTTGCATATAGTCTAGGTCAGAGAGAGGAGAGTATATGCATTATTGTTGTCTGCTTTAATCAATATTTATCTGGAATCTTCACATACTACGACTTTGTTTGTTTGTTTGCTTGCTTATTTTTGTGTATATATTTATGTGTGTGTGTGTGCGTGTGTGTAGCTCAGACTAACAACTAGCATTCTAGTTCATTATCCTTGTCATTTTTTCTCCTTTTTGGTTTTCCTATAACTTTTTTTGTTAAATTAATGTGACTACAATGTCTATGTATGTCTTTTTGACTTTCAGTGTAGATTCTTTCTCCCTGTCTTTTCCTCACTTACCCCTAACCATACTTTTCTGTTTAGTCCCCAATGAAGTCTGTTATCTATCACCCCTTGTCTCTACATTATGCTCAGAGTTTATTTCCGGGGCTGAAGTGTAGCTGTAATAACAATGACAATAATAATAATCATTTACAAGTTTGATCACCGCCCGACATCATTTAGACAACTATTGGGAAAACCAGAGAGAATTAGATAACTATTCCGCCCCAGTAGTACTCACCTACTAGAGTTCAAACCCAAGATTGTCCGGTATCAAGTTTATTCGATAGTTCACTTCATCTAACATCGGTGGTCACACTTGAAGAAATGTCTGAAACTTTAATTCCAGTTCAGTTTGTTCTTCAGTGTCATTGCTGAACACTATTCTGTATCCTACAATGTGCTTGTATAAAATATGACCACAAAAACAGAGAATAGGCCAACATGATTCATTTGTGTTATTGTGAAATGAACTCTGGTACTAAACGTTGTATATATATATATACTATATAAGGGGTTAAATCACATCTATTAGGAATTATAAATCCCTCTCATTTACTCTAGTTACTGATGGGTCATGTTACATGTCTGTCTTTTCATTGCACGCTTTTAACCTGCTAATTCTCAAAGGTGTGTAGAAAGGCTGGGAGTGGAACCCGACCCTATTTTTACAAGGTTGACAGGAGCCTTTACCTGCACTCACTCTTGCGGGTGAACCGCTTGAAGTTGTTGATAAGTTTGTGTATCTGGGTAGTTGTGTGAGTGCTGGCGGAGGGGTGACCGATGCGATTTCCAACCCGTATAATAAAGGCTAGGGTGACATACATCAACTTGAGCCATCTCTCACGCCGTCGCGACGTTAGTCTGGCTGTCAAAGGTCGGGTATACAATGCTTCGGTGCGGGCTGTCTTGCTCTACGCCTGTGAAACCTGGCCTGTGCGTGTTCGATCATCGCTGTCTCCGCAGGATTGCTTGCGTTCGACGGCATCATCGCGTGAGTAATTCTGAGGTTCGGCGGCGGTGTTTGAACACAGGGGAGATCACCATTCGTTGAGTGTAGTTGGGGTCCACGAGATAGCTCGAAACGTTATCGCATATGGCCAAGAATCGTAATCAATGGTGAACGTGTTGCAATTTCCTTCTTTCTTCCCTTCCCGATGATAGTTAACGAATACTGTTTGAACTTGTTAAGGATGACCGTTTTCCTTCCAGATGAAGTTCTTTTGTCGGTTTCCTACTTATATTTTTACCTTTAATCTATGTTGTTTTATTATTATTGTGTGGCGCATCTTTCTTGGTGCCATATTGTACCAAGTTTTTTCTGCGTTTAAATAAATAAACACCCTATTTAACGCCATATTTGAAATAGTTAACCCGATGGTATTGTTTTATATTTATTTCATTTAAAATACAAACTTGGTACAATTAATAATATCAACAGATACAACAGTAGTAAAGTGATAGTATATCTGTATTAAAGAAGACCAGGAGGAGAGAATTAGTGAGAGACGTCATCCAGAAAGCAAGCATGGCATATACTTGTCAAGATCATTCAGTGTACATCACTTCTTGGTACCTGTTTCAGCAAGGGAAGAAAAGAGGAAATCATAGCACACTTGCCCTCATTGGCGACTACGATTCTTGGTAACGTGTTTCATGGTATCAATTCAAACCACCTTTCAGACCTCAATCAGGCAGTTGTAATTTGCCAAATAATGCTAACCTAACATAAATATCCTTCATCCTATACGGTGTTACATCACAGACTGGCAACCTCCCCGCTTTTCGGCATTCAGTTATCAGAGCTAGCGCAAACAAAGACAGACCGGTACAGGAGCCTTTGTGATGATATTGTATGGAATTCATATTGTAATAATCATTAGGCATGGTATCTTTTTCTCTCCGTCTTCATATATTCTATGATAGATGAACTAATTCCATAGAGGCATAGCGGCATTTACTTTTAATGTTTAAAGGTTGTAATTGTTTCTTACAGTATATATGATATATGTATATGTATATATGGAAGAAGGAAAGAAAGAAAAGAGGCATCCTATTTGATACTTAAGAATTGTCCACTATAATAACAATTTTTTTCTTCTACGCACTTTGCTACCACTCTGTGTATGTACAGTGTGTATGCCTGATATATATATATATATATATATATATATATATATATATATAAGTAGTACTGGTAGTGTAACCCATACGTGTGTAGAATGTAGGCAGTGTATATGTGATTATTTAGCCGACACTAATTTTCTACAAAAGTAACAACAACAACAAGAATAAAAGGAAAGCCTAGTTAGATCATAAGGGTAAGTTGACTAACAAAAACAATGCCTTGGTTTGTATGTCTTTACAACGCATTGGATACTATGTATACATAGATGTGTGTGTTATGTAACATGTGTGTGTGTGAGTGATTGTGCATACTGCGCACATTGTACCCATCCACATACATGCAAATAAGTAGAATAACCTGAAAGTGTCACAGGGTATTACTTACGTTTCTTTTGTTATTGCCGCTGATGTCGTATTTGTGCGTGCATGTGTGCCTGTGTGTGTGTGTGTGTGTATTTCCATCATACAGTCTATATACTTACTTACTCACTCACTCAGTAATCGCTTTCTTGTTTAATATATAAAGCATAAATTTTCAAAGCGGTTTTTTTTCTGAAAGTATCTCAATCTTACTGCCATTCATAATATCGTGTATGCGTGTATCAATCAGTGAAATAGTAATATGTATTTATCTTGGCAGTCGAGGGAGACTTGTCTTATTGCCCCAGATTAGATATTCTTGTTGTCTGATTCATTTTGTTTTTTTTGAGTGCTATCTAGAGATTACTGAATAGAATTACTAAAAGCGCATGCGTATTCAACCTGAGTATTATTTGTTGTTATTATTATTATTATTTTTTTTCTACTGAATACGGATGAATAGGAGTAAGATTTCACGAATAGTTGACTATTTTGATTATTATTATTGTTCCTTTGGGTTCCTAGTGGAACATAGGGCTTCAACTGCACGTTTCCCTTCACTTGCTTCTGTCTTCCTTCTGCTGTACTTTTCACCTGTATCCATGTTAGTCCATACTCTTTCGACTCCTCTTCACACGATCTCCTCCATGCAAAATGTAAGATGCTGCTACAGGACTGGACCCCGTCAACCCCTAACTTAGTGATAGGGAGTGAAGTGATAGAACATGTTGAACACTTCACCTATTTGGGAAGTTGTATTAGCACCAACGGACTGATTGGCGATGAAATCTCAGCACGGATCCGAAAAGTTCGAGCTGCTTTCGCTGACTTACACCATCTCTGGCGTAGGCGTGAATCCGGCTATCAACTAAGGGACGTGTGTACTGCTCATCAGTTCGCTCCGTCCTTCTCTATGGCTCTGAAACATGGCCAATACGCGTTGAAGACATGAAAAGGTTGACTGCTTTCGATCATAGATGTCTGCGATCTCTGCCTCACGTTAGGTGGTTTCACAAGATAAGTAATGTTGACGTTAGGCGTAGAGTGTTGGGCAAAGAGGGAAAATCAATCGACGAGGCTATAAAGTTACATAGACTAAGATGGCTAGGTCACGTGCTGCGCATGCCTAACCACCGCCTCCCCCGACGGGCTTTGCTAGCTGATATAGGTTCAGGTTGAAAAAGAGCCAGTGGTGGCCAAACAAAAACATGGCATCAATCCATGAAATCCTTGACAGTAAACTGAGTCAGGTAGGGAGATGCAGACTCCCGGGTTGGGGCCCTCGGGACTCTAGGAATCAATGGCTGGAGACAATAGGTGACATGTCTCAAAATCGTTGTCAATGGCGCAGATGTATTCAGTCTCTGTAATCTTTCATATTCCTTTCTACCATTACCCATTCTGTTTCACTCTTATATTTGTCAAACTCTATTGATTCTCTTCACTCATCTTCTTGTCTACCTTGTGTGCCAATCGGAACGTGGCAACTCGAACTGGTGCACTTCGGTGCCAAGTTCTATGTTGAATCCAGACAGACAGACCTCCATGTCACCCACCCTTGCACTAACGTCCCACTTTCCGCTTCCCTTTCGGCCTGGTTCCACTCGAGCAATGGTCTGACGCGCGATGTCACCAACCGGCCTCCTCAGCAAGTGTCCACCGAGTGTCGCCACTTTCTCCTGCATATTTGTTGGTTGGTGATTGGTTCTTGTTTTGTTTTGTTGGTTCCCAGTTAGAGTTTCTTCTTGGTGATTCTTTCTGGCCCGGCCATCTGATCTTTATTCAATATAGAGCGAAGACAGTTGTTGGTTGATAAAGGTCTGCAATAGCCAGCCTGTTGGAAATATTCTTTGTGACCCACCCGCCCGCCTGCCCGCGAAGTTTCTGATCCCATCCGTATAGAAGAACTGACCAACTTGACGTTTGCATTAAAAATCCGACCGAATTTTGTTGTTGATGCTGGTTGATTGACGTAGATTTCCACATTGGTTTCAGGTTGATGTATGTGTTTCTCGCCTTCCCGATGATTCTTGCTCGATTTGACATCCTCGTCCGTTCCTGCGTTCCTGCAGTTGAGAGAATGCTCCCTAGATAAGTGAATGAAGTAACTAGCCTCTTTCAAATCCCTCCCGTTGATGATGATTGGCATTACTAATCTGTGCAACTGTCAAAAGACTATTTTTCGGTATCTGTAGTGTAGACGTGATTTCCAACTACCAATCAATAGATATATGTGACTGACTGACTTTTCAACACAGAATTTTGCACAGAAGTGCAAAAGTTTGAGTTGTCACACTCTGTAAAGCACTCAATGGAAGGACGTATGCACTGTGCCACAGTTCATATTGTTTTCTTAAATATATCTGTGAGATATGGCCATTCAAGGCCGAAGATATGAAGATACGCTGTCCAGCTGTCGTCTTTGATCATAGGTATCCGCATTCTATCTCCCACGTTAAACGGTATACTAGGTTGAGTTATATCAAGGTTAGAGGTAGAGTGTTAGACAACAGGAGTGAGCCAGCTGATGAGGTTGTGAAGCTACCTCGTTTTAGATGACTAGAACACGTATCGCACATTCATTCAAAGATATTGCCTTCTTTGACAAGCAACTGTAGGTAACACTGTATTGAGTTTGGAAAGAGTTAGGCGTTATAAAACGATGACAGTTGATTTGAACCAAGTAGAGCGGCATAGATTACCTGATTGGAAGGGTGCCTTTCAAGATACTAAAAACCATTGGCTTGAGACAATTGGTGGATGTAACTCTAAATTTTTTATGGTAAACGAGGTGTTGAAACTTGAACTGTTGCACTTCTGTGTTAAGTTCTATGTTTTACAATTCAGTCAGTCATCTTATATTGATTTTATTCAAATGTCTAATCCAGTTCACTCATGTATATAAATGAAGGAAATAAATTGTGTGGGTAACTTGATATGATTACCACAGTGCCCAAGTTTCATACGTATATCAATGAATAACAATTATTGTTATTCCTTTGGTTCTTAGTGGTTTGTCGGATCACAAAAGGACGTTTCCATCTCATCCTGTTCTCTGAAGTGATTTTTAGATATCTCCACGATTTCCCATATGCTTTCATTTCCTCTTCACACGGTCTCATCGACGTCATTCCTTGGCATCATGGCCACATCATCGGTTCCCATTCAAGTTCCACACTAGGGGGTCCACTTCGAGATATGATTTCATTCAGTGGTCTCCTTAGCATGTATCGAATTCATCTCTGTTTCCTTCCGCATATTTGTATTTGGCAATAGCTACTTGGTTGGTTTATTTCCAGAGTCTCTTGATCATGCCCAAGTTTTATAACCTAAACGAAGCTCTTTTTTGTTATTACCGTTACAGATTTTATATGCACTTGAATTTCTACACGCCAATCGTGTTATTCATCGTGATATCAAATCAGATAATATTCTACTTGGTATGGATGGATCTGTAAAATTGACAGATTTTGGTTTCTGTGCACAATTAAGTCATGATGGAACAAAACGCTCAACTATGGTTGGTACACCGTATTGGATGGCACCAGAAGTTGTTTTACGTAAACAATATGGTCCAAAAGTTGATATATGGTCATTAGGGATTATGGCTATTGAAATGGTTGATGGGGAACCACCTTATTTAAATGAAAATCCTGTTCGAGTAAGTTCTTGTTGTCGTTGTTGTTTTTGTTAATGTTGTTTTTTTTGACAAGATTTAGCGATGATTATTTGAGGGGAGTGTATATTCACATAGCTCGAAAGATTAATTTTAGTGACAGTGTGTCGCTTAGATGGTTTCTCTCCTAATCCCCCTTCTCCTTGTCATTCTGAACATTATTATTATTATTATCGCCTTAATCCTGATAAGGAACATCATGACAGTCCAGTGGAATTCACTTTTCACAGATATCCGACCATCACTGATTATATGTCAAATTATTTGAGCAATATCTAGAATGATCATAAACTATATCCATCTACATTTGTAATGCACTGCAGGAATTCATTACTCAGGAGAACTGAATAACGCGATACTTAAGCTTATTTTTGCCACAATCACTGACGATAGTCAGTACGAGGGGAGGGATGACAGTTTTATAATCCTGGATAACTTTAGTTTTTAATCTACACTGTATGATAGACCTGATAGGTGTAGATTTCCAAGTTCTCGCTATTGAAGGATTTTTTTTCCTTCCGTCAGTTAGCATAAATCAATGGGAAGGGAAAAGCCAACTTATGTTTTCCTTACTACTACTATGCTTGATCGACTACTTAATGTATTGATTACACTTTAAGCTCATGTGTCTTGTGTTCCTGTTTCGCTGTACCTACTTCACCCGAAAGAAAATATATTAGTAGTAGAATCAGTTCTTACACGATAATTGTGACGCATTGCCCAGAACATAGAAGACAATCTGTTCCGGCAACTGAGTTCAAACTAGACAAGCAAATAATCTATTTTCAAGAGTTAGTTTGTAGGGATTTGATTCATTTGTCAATTTTGGTATTAGATGGTTGGAGGCAATCGGCCACAGGAAGCCTTCCTTGACCTAGGTTTCGTGCTTCTAGTTGGCACTCACCAGTCAGCAAAGCGTATCTGCAACCTTGAAGGAACTCATTCCCCTTCTGAGATTCGAACCGGCGTCACCCAGTGCTGCAGTCAGAGACGTTACCACTGAGCTATTCAGACTCGCGATTGACCTCCTGTAGGACTGTATTGGATATTTTTGATTGGACACTAGTCAGTAACTAGTGTAATGTATCTAGTCCTATCTTCGGTGCAGACTGTACAGGAGGTCGATCGCGAGCCTGAATAGCTCAGTGGTAACGTCTCTGACTGCAGCACTGGGTGACGCGGGTTAGAATCTCAGAAGGGAAATGAGTTCCTTTAAGGTTGCAGATACGCTTTGCTGACTGGTGAGTGCCAACTAGCAGCACGAAACCTAGGTCAAGGAAGGCTTCCTGTGGCCGATTGCCTCCAACCATCTAATACCAACATCTCAGTGCACCGTAATGGCGAGCCACCTAGCATGGTAGCCACATTGCAAGCTTGACTGGTAGAATTCAGTCTGCAACAAAGATAGGACTAGACACATTACACTAGTTACTGACTAAATTGTGTCAATTTTGATCACAGATTGATGTCAGTTAGAAAACTATTGGAAACCAGCAAGCAGTACTGAGCAGTTATGTCGCCCTAATGCTTGACGCCCTTCAGCAGTACTCACCCACCGATATTTGAACTTAAGGTCGTTCGGTTACCAAACAAGGTTATAGACCTTTCAGCCACTGGGATCTCCGAACCAATGTTCCATGAGTTCCAACTTCTGCCAATTTGTGATATATCTAGTGCGATCGTCAGCAAGTGTCACAAGTGTGAGTAACTGTCCTTATGTGTGACTTCGTAAACGGCGGTGAGTGCCCACTGATGAGGAGTCCCAAACTAGGCTGACGAAACAGCTGTGCAGTACTTCCTACTGGTTTCCCAATGGTTTTGTAACTGATGTCAGCACGCGCTCAATTCTGTAATAAAGAATAACTCACATGGCATAAAAATTCAAATTCCAAGTCAATAAAAACGACCAACACCCTGATGCAAATTAACAACAACCATTCATGACAAAAAATTTTCAGGCCGATGTAGTTATATCATTCACTTGGGAAATTCAAATAATTTCACTTCATCTTAAAGCTTTGCACTGTAAATGTTGTCCAGAAGGCAGAGCAACCAAACCTTCGCAATTATAAACCGTCGACCAGATCAGAGAACTCAACTACATTGAAATCTATTCCATCTTTAGTGTATTTATGGTATCTTTCTAAGTATTTCAAGATTATTATTTTTTTTATATTTCAGGCTCTTTATCTAATCGCTACTAATGGTAAACCAGAAATTAAAGAACGCGATCGTCTGTCAAGTACATTTCTTAACTTTCTTGATCGTTGCTTAGAAGTTGATGTTGAACAAAGAGCTACAGCTATTGAATTATTACAAGTTAGTTGAAATATTTTTTTAGAAAAAAAAACGATTAACTTGTCTTTTTCTATACTAAATTATCTATGTATTGGATTATTCATCTTTTGTGTGCATCGGCGGTGGTTTGGTGGTAGAGAATACTCGTCAACAACCGTTTATGTGGTCTCTGGGATTCAATCCCCGGTTGACACACGCACTCCTAGACCTTGCTAGCTCTGTAATAAGACCAGTAAAGAGGGAAGGTTAGGCATGATGAAGCTAGCAACTCCAGTTGGTAAAAGTAACACTCCTTTGGTACAGAAACTTCAAATCTCTCTAGTTTGACGCCCTATGTTCCATTGGGAACGTAAGGGAATAAAATAAGTAAATTCACCTACCTAGAGCTGGTGTGCGTCGGTGGCATAGCGGTTAGGACGCTTGCCGACCATGCACATAGTCCGGGGTTCAATCCCCGGCCATAGACGCGCTCCTTTACCTAGCTAAGCCAGTAACAGAACTAGCAAAGAGAGAAGGTTGGGCATGAGGCTAACAACCCCATCCTGTAAAAGTAAACACTTCTACAGAAACTTCAAACCACCAGCTTGAAGCCCTATGTTCCACTGGGAACGTGAAGGGAAAATACCCTAGGGCTGGTAATAAACTCGTATTGCTGTTACTTCTCATAATTTATATATACATGTGATGTTGAAAATGTGTATCTGTCATCTAAGAGATTCTCTTAGGCTCATTAATCTACTGTTTTAGGCATTACCTGTGCTTATATATTGCAGTCATATGTTTACTTTGATTTAACTGAACAGCAGGTAGTAACTCGTGTCATACATCTAGTCTTTTGTAAGGTGTAGACAGTTCAGGGTGTGTCGTGATAACGAGGCAACGTAGCATGCTGGCTACATTGCAAAAATCAACTGGATAGAACTGGATAGTCTGTACGAACATCGAGGACTAGGCTCTCCCCATGACACTAGTTACTTACTTACCACCTATTGTTCAATCGAAGTGTTTGCACTACAGTCCTACAGTAGGAGTCAATCGCTAGCTCCGAATAGTTCGATGGGTAGTCTAACATTGGATGACCTGAGTTCAAATCTTAAACGAAACATGAGTTTTTCTTCCTAGATTGCAAATATACCTTTGTGACTGGTGAGTGCTAACAAGGGGTCCTCAAGGTTGCGTTCAACCATCTAATAATGGTCATACGTTTCATTTGTTGTATATATATATATATAAAATAGTTGAAGAAGCAGCTTTGGGCGTTAAGCTAGCTACCCCACCGTTACTGAAACTTCGAAACCCCATGTTCCACTCAAAACAGCATAGCGTGAATTAACTCACTTAAAAACTTGCTTTCATAATACTGAATCAAATAATTTATATGGTTAGTTTGTAAGCGTTAGCATTGTTTTTACGAGTTGATCACGAATTGATATCAGTTTAGAGAACCTTTGAAGACCAGCCACAGGCAATACTGAACAACTGTTTCATCAGCCTAGTTTACGAATCATCGGCAGTACACGCCCACCACCAGGGTTAGAACCCAGAACCTTCCGGTCACAAGGCAAGCTGGCTTGTATACCATTCAGTCACTGGGACCCGATTCAATGACCAATCAGCCTATGAATTCTAACTTCTACCAGTTCGTGATTTAATAGCGCGACCAGCAACCAATATCGTCGATAGGACATCCATCCTCACATGTGACCTGGATGGACCCAGTGGGTGCGTACTGTCGATGATTCCCAAACTAGGCTGATGAAATAGAGCTGCCCAGTACTCTCTGTGGCTGGTTTTCAATGGCTCTCTAACTGATACCAATCCGTGATCAACTTGTAAAAACAAATAATCTATCCTTATTTAATTATATATATATATATATATATATATATATATATATACTTTCCTCAATGACTAAAATATTCTTTTCTGTGTTTTTGTGTCTTCACAGCATCCATTCATCCTCCGATGTGCTAAACCCTTGAGTTCATTAGTTCCATTGATTAATTTGGCCAGAGAACAAAAATAAACACCTTCGTTAACCATCCAATGAGAATACAGATATAAAGGCGAAGAAGAAGAGGAGAAAAAGGAAAAAAATCAATGGATTTGTGTATATTACTATTTTTAATGAATTGTGTTGTTTGTTTTTTGTTACTCTACTATTACTACTATTCTTGTTCAATACACGTGTTATTCCTTACTACAACATACTAATATACAATAATAATAGTAATCATGATAATAATAATAATGATAATAATATATTAGGTATGCATATTATTCAACTGATTGATTTAATTGATGATTGAGTACTCTTCCTGGTTCTACTACTATTATTACTACGGGTACTTACTTTTAAAACACTTAACTGTTTCTTGCCACATCAATTCTCCTATTATACTGAAGAGACACAATAAGAAGCGAAGACGAAGCGGAAGAAGTCTGTGTACATGTTTAACATCTATCTATCTATCTATGTATATTACAAGCTTTATTTGTATCCTTTGCTTTTGTTTTACTTTATTCTACCATTTTATAATCATCCAGTGTTCCTGTGTGCACACACACACACACGTGCAGAGAGACAGACAGTGTGCGACTGTATTACCCATCACCACCTATCATGTAAAATTTGTCATTTGTTCAAATGAGCACCTGTTTGAACCCATTGTTGTATATTATACCCACTATATTTGATATGATGTGCGCTTGAATGGAATGATTTTTTGGGATCATGATCCATGCATGATTCAATGAAATTATCATTTTACAGTTTTTTATAATAGTATTGTTAACTTATCTTCTTAGTTTTACCCCCTCTGTCTGTCTGTGTCTTATGTGAGAGCGCGCAAGTACACGTTTTCTTTTATAGCAAGCAATTCCCATTCCCTTGTCAAATTTGATTGTTACTCATAATCACATTAATGGTACAATAATAATGATGATAAGAATACTGAAAATTCTTGCACTCACCACTTCCTTTTTCTTGCTTCCTCTTTTTCTACTTCTTCTTTTGTTAAAATGTGTACTCACACTTATCGCCTACTTTGAAAACGGTTGGTGAATTTTTTTTTGTTTTAGTTTGACGAGGGTGAGTACTCCCTCACCCATCCTTGATCTTGTTCTCGTGTCTGTGTGTGTGTGTATGTAGTTGTACCTACAAGGTAGAGGAGAAGAGGGATATATGTATAATGTAGTAAGTGACATTGATATACATACTCAAGCGCCGGCTATAATGACAAAAACTTTTCAAATTCACTATATTGCAGTTTTAACTCTCTTTTTTTAAAACACATCTGTTTTACCCTATTTTTCCCTGGAATACTGTAATACTTATGTAGTGCCACCACCTACAAACAGACATAAACACACACACCTAGTCAGTAGTTATACATTATCCTCTTTTTTTTGGTGTGTTTGTTTCCCCTCCCCACACCACAACACAGCACACCATCAATGTTAATCGATCTGTTTTGCCTACTGCTCTATTACGACGACAGCAACAACAACAACTACTACTACTGTGTGTGTATATTGTTTGGCATTTTTTTCTTGTTGTTGTTGCTGTTGGTCTCTTGTCTAAAACAATTTTTTGTTATCAAAAGAAACGAATATAAACGCTTAACTTTTTATGTTGTTCTTGTATTTTACCATTCCGCGTTCCACTTCTGATCCTCCTCCCTTTTTATGAATCAATTTTACTGCTAGTAGAATTAGTAGTAGTCGTAGTAGTAATAGTAGTAGCATCACTATTATTTCTCTCAGTGAATAAGTGAAATATGTGAATAAAGCATTTGTTCTAGGGGTAGTTTTTATTTAACGTGACAGTGTCATTGTTGTCTATTCTGACTATTATTATTATTATTATTATGACTGCTGTTATCATAATTTCGTTTTGTCTGTTATTCCGCCTTCTTGTCGTTATCGTTTTCACTGTCGCCGCCGTCGCCCTCCGCGCCTCCTCCCCATGCCCACTTTATCGATGATGATTCTGCTTACCATTTCTTGTTTTTTTTATTGTTCATTCATAGGCTTCTTTCAGTGTGTGTGTGTGTGCGTCCATGTATTCATGTATGTATGTATGTATGTATGTATGTCAAAGCGATATTGATTTTACTCTAGGTGATCACATTTTAACCAAATAATCATTATTATTACGATTATTACTTATTACTTTTTTTCCCGGTTGACTGACGAATCACTATTTGATCTTAAACGACTGCTTTTTGATCATGTAAACTGAGAAAAGTTGTGTATCATCTCTCTCTCTCTCTCACACACAAACACACATACATACAACTAGGCTTTATTAAATAATATTGATTCTAAATGATGATGAATACATGTCCATGTATTGTTATGTATAAAACAAAGAAGTTATCCGTGTGTTGTATAACTTGACTTTTATTCACTCTTTTTATTTTACACAATAATAATAATTATTGTTATCACTGTTATTTCTGTTTTGTTCGAGTGAAATTGGTCAAAAGGTCTGTGTGTTAGAGGCGATGGATGGAGTAGTATTCTTATTTTCCTATTGACATTGTGTTGTCGTCGCTTCGGTCTCTCACTCTATCTCTGCGTGTGTTTTTAATGTCACTTGGCGAAATATACCCCAATCAGCTTATCAGTAATAGTAGAATTAGTAGTGGTTGTATATTTGAAAGTGATGGATGATAGGTGGTCATTGATTCCTCTTTCGTGTGTGTACGTGCGTGTATATGCGTGGCATAATTCCTATTCCGTTTTCTATTTTATCGCCTTTTGTTACCTCCCTCTGCTTTTAATGTCTTAGAACCATACTTACACACCACCACTCACTTATGTATGTATTACCTTTTCTCTGTCTCATATAATACACTACACACTGCACGCAATATCTCGTTATTGTTGATTTTATGATTCAAGTCAAGGCGTTGAGTGAGTGTGATGTTCTATTGCGTGCATTTCCTCCTCCCGGAGAAAAGAAAAGTATTCTCCTCCCTGTTGGGTGTGGGTGGGTGGGGTGGGTGCGCGTGTCTTACTGCCTGTAGCTTCCGAAGTTTCTCCTCTTCTCCACCACCTCCATCCATTGTTTCGTGTGACATTGACACATACTCATCACTGTTTCTTTTTTAGGCGGTAGATGAAAATAAGATGACAATTAGTATATTTCCCCCCACACACACACTTCACTGCGTTTATTATTTTCAATCTGTTTGTTAAAATGTGGCGGGGAGGTGAGGCTATTTTCTCTCTCTCTCTCGATTATTACTTTTATTATTATTATTATTATTATTGTGTTTTATTTACTCCTACAAATTATACATTTTCACATATTAAAAAAATACAAAATACTTACAGAAAATGCTTTTTTCTTTTCGGTTTCGTATAACGTTGAATAGCGAAAGTTGGGCATTTAGTACTTGAGATATGAGGAAAAAATGTCCATCTATGAATAATATTGATTTGGAAATGTAACCAGCAAAGTCATTTTTGATTCAACTGTATCTATTATCGAAGTCTGTTTTTCTTTGCATGCTGTGTACGACTCATAGGGGATAATTTTAAACCATGTTTAATTAGATAGTGGTTTAGTTTGAACCTTTGCATGTAGGAGCTTCCTACCTCAACTTCATCGGATCTGAAAAGACCTTTGACAGAGTCGATCAAGAGGTAATTTGGAAGCTACTTCACTACACTATGGGGTGCCGCCAATAGTTGTACGACAATGCTGCATGCCAAGTAATCCACAACGGGAAACTCATGAAATCCTTCGAAATGAAGACGGGAGTAAGACAAGGCTGGCTGCTTACTATCCCCAATGATTGTCTTGATTTCGGGTGGTAGACGTGATAATGCGACAGACAGCGGGCAACGAGAAGACAGGCATAAAATGGGCCCACACAAAAACTTGGAGGATCTGGATTTTGCCAATGATATTTGTCTGATTTTCCACAAATCGGAAGATATGCAAGTGAAAAGCAACAAGTTGGCAGAAGAAGCATCCAGAGAAGATAGGACTTCCTTCAGGTGAACATAGAGAGAACAGAGATGATGAAGACTCCTGGCCAACAGGAACCACAACAACAGACAAAAATCACCCCAACCGAGAAATTTGAAAGGAGCAGCCTCCTTCCCCACCTACCTACCTGGGAAGCATCTTTTCAACTACAGATTTTTTTATTACAGCTTGATTCCACACTGTATTTTTGGTACAAGTATGGAATTTTCAGCATGGATATCGGTAGTCCAAATTTTGCAGGCCGACCATAGATATCAAGTGTGCGTCGACAGGGGATCGAACCTCGGACCATGTGCATGGTCGGCGAGAGTCCCAACCACTGTGCCACCAACGCACAAGGTGGAAGCGATGAAGATGTCAAAGTGAGGATTATCGGGAAAGCAAGGCAAGCTTTCACTACTCTTCAGTGTGTGTGGAGATGTACAGCACTCAGCATGAAAAACAACGTGCCGATTTTCAACTTCAATGTGAAATCAATGCTACTATACGGATCAGAGACTTGGCGCGTCACAAACGACACCTCAAATAAATTACAGACCTTCATCAACAGCTAGCTGTCTTTGCTCAATACTCAAGATCGGATGGCCAGAAAAGATCAGAAACAGGGATCTCGGCCAATGAGCGAACAAATCAGGAACCGATTATGCAACAAATAAGCAGGAAGAAATGGAGATGGATTGGCCATACTCTAAGGTAACCATCAAGTGACATCACATATCAGTCCATTTCTCGAGTGGAACCTGAATGGGAAGTGGCGAGTTGGGCGTCAGTGTGAGGGTGACATGGGGGAGGTCATGTGAAGAGATGATGAAAGCATGTGGGCAGATGTGGAGCTAGGTGAAAATGTTGGTGGAGAACTGAACACAATGGAGACGTTTGGCTGAAGCTTTATGTTCCTCTAGGAACTAAAGAAGACGATAATAATATAATATAGGAAAATAAAAGATAAACTCATTAGAGTAAATCCTCTTTTTCGATGAATTCATCTTCAAAAGGGCTGTACAGTTACATTAATATTAGTC